TCTGTTATTACTGTTATTATTTTTACTATTATTTTATTATTATTATTATTATTATTATTACATTACTATTATCATTTTATTCACTATTATTATTATTATCATTTTATTCACTATTATTATTATATGAAAGGGTGAAACCCACGACAGAGGTAGTTATGTTGTTGACTTAGTTAGGGTTAGTGATAGGTTAGTTACTATTTAAGATAGTGATCTGCATCAATAACGTAACCACTTTCGCGGGTTTCCATCGCGGGTTTCGCCCTGTCATATTATTATTATCATTTTATTCATTATTATTATTATCATTTATTATTATCATTTATTATTATTATTATTATTACAATACTATTATCATTTTATTATTATCACATTGTCGATTTACGTTATCTCACCATCTACATTTACATTTATATTTAGTTATTCTGGGGCCCATTAAGCTTTCTTACAGCTTATGGAATTTACGAAAACTTGCCATTCCGTTATATTTTACAAATAATAGTATCTTTAGGACAACTCTATGGACTAGTTTTATACTATTTAACCGAATTAATGGAGGGAGCATCACATTGTAGACCCGAAGGATATTATTTTTGGGTTTATTTCTTTGGAGCTAATTTTATATGGGCCATTGCTGCTACAACCTTGATTTGGCAAGGTTGGTTTCAAATAGTTAATTCTGCCAAGGATGAGATTAAAAGGAAGAGTAAGAAATCTACTTAATTTTTGAAAAGATCAGGTAATTTCGTGTAGTAGTATATTTATTTTATTTGGGAATTAGGGTTTAAAATTTTATCATGGGAATAAGGGTTTAATGTGATAATCTAATTACTCTAAATGATTACTTTAACGTAGTATTTATATCATTTGCGTAACTTCTTTTTAGCTTTATATTTGTTTTTTATTTGTGTTTTGTCGTGTAATAGTGTAGACATTCGGTTATTTTTTATTTTTAATCTAATAAAATATATTATATAATTAATATTAATATATATATTCTTTCATGTGACCTATTGTATCTTTTTTGACGATCTTGTTTTCAAAATGCTAATAATTTCTTATTACGTACGTACACATATCGATATACGTATGCATATATAACAATAATGATGGTGCAGTAATGTTACATAGAACTAGAGAATTACCTCGCATATATATCACATATCGCGTGAAGTAAATGAACATAAAACTGATGTAATCATCTCGCGTGAAGACGTAGAACACGAATTAAATGTAAATAAATACGTAGTCGAAAATTATGAATACTGATTTTATTAGATGAATGTGTACTCACGTAAGTACTTATGAAAATCTTATTTTTTTTTTTTTTTTTTAATTTAAATACATTTTTTGTAGGTAAGAAAAAAAAAAAGCTATACAAAAAAAAAGAGGTTTACAGTTATACAATGAATGAGATACAAAAATTTTAGTATATATTACAAAGATTGTATCAAGTTTAATTATTTGACAAAAAAAAAGAATGGTGGGAGTAAAATAAATCAAGATAATAAAAACGTGAATATTGAACTTGCAACACCAACACCCATTAAAACCAACCATACACCCGTTCCTCCTCCACCAACATCGCTACCACTGGCAATAAAATTTGGGGATCCACTATGCGTAGCCGTTGGTTTCGCATTATTCACAGTTGGAGCAACGCCATATCCCTGACTTATAGGAGACATAGTGACAGAAGGTGCATCAACACCAGAAGTAAAACTAACCGATAGACTAAATTTTATTTCTTTATCATGTGGATTCACCACACTCAAACATAACAAATCCTTAGTTGGAAATGATGGATCTTTTTTTTGGTAACATCTAAGTTTCGGTTCTTGCCAACACGAAAGATCGGTATAATACGATAAATTTGACGATAAATTTGAAGATGAAGGATCAATGAATAATTGAAGTCCAGTATAATTTGTGACGTAAGTTAGTAAACCAAGTTGAACCTGGGTCGAAGATGGAGGCCTGCCTTTAACTACTGTACCAAAATTTGGAGTTTCTGATTGACCATTACTAACTTGTTGTGCGTCATATGCTACATTAACATTAACGAGAAAGATTTGATTATTATAATTGAATGAATAACATATGCTTCATTCATAGCATTTCACAAAAGCATTTTCACGGATCACAAATATAAAGTTCAATCAGAGAAAATTCTTATTATTAATAATACTATTACAATATCACAATACTGCAAATTTTTTTTTTTTTTTGGTCTCATACACTCAAACTCAAATATTGTTCAAACATTGCTCAAACATTGCTCAAACATTGCTCAAACATTGCTCAAACATTGTTCAAACAAAAGTTTTCCTTGGCAGACTTTACCATATAAGTACTAACGCTAAAATCTAACCCTAATAACGCTAGCCCTAACATCAATAAACATTGCGTTGATTCGTCACAAACCTGCCACATCTTTTTCACGGGAAAATGGGTTAGACATCCATATGATTTTGTCAAAACAATAGTTTAATCAAATACTGAAACTGCATAAATGCGTCATAATGATTAACTTTTCAATTATTATAAATCGCACCAGTTGTGTTAAACGCCATACGTATAATTTTTTATTATAATTTTGTTAATACTTAAGGTTAAGGTTAAGAATTAGAATAAAATTAGAAGCTATATACTAAAAAAATTAAAGCTAAAAATAAAGTTTGGCTAAGGTTTTGGGGCTGCTGAACATTTTTGCTTAATACATCCGGCTTTGGTTATTTATATAATTCTTGAGATATAGCAACTGTGGTGTTAAACACCACTGCTGTAACTTTTAATTTAACCAAATCATAATTATAAATTATATACAGTACCGTAAGCACGTACATAGGGTGCATGCACTTTTTATTTAACAGATTAGTAAATTTAATAAAAACTTCTATATGTAGCTGTCAGTAAAGTTACGTAATTGAAGTTCTATAAATACAACCAGTAAAAATGTTTTATGCAAATAGATATAAACGCATTGCATGCATTGAAATGCTCAGAACCTGATTAAGTAATTTAATAAACGATAATGATAACGGATAATCTAAATTAATGCCTCGCCGAGCAATTTTATTGGCCATCACATGGGCAGACAAACAAGGAATGCAAAAATTACGGTTTTGATAAAATAATTAAAAAACTAAATATAGTGAATCAAAAACGTAGCTATATACTATCAAAAATGTAGCCTTTGTATTATTACCATTATTAAACATTAAATGTTCTCCGACATGCTCCGAAAAAATTTTAAAAAATTTACAATTTAATAAATTATAGAAATCAATGGTGGGATCAAAATTCACGTAATATATAGTATATATTAAATAACATATATGTCATTAATTAAATCAGTATATAAATAAACCCGAGCCAAATACTAACGAAGGTCCAAATCAATCCCATACACATGGACAAATTCACACTATCCGCGCTGTTAAAAACTCCGGGATCAACGACAGTCGTCATCGGAGGAGGAGGAGGAGCTGTAGGACAACTAGAAGGTGTAGAACTAAGAACGGCTAAAGCAGGATACTTTATACCAGATGTGAACGATATGCTATAAGAAAACTTGGTTTCACAAGCATTAGGATTCGACACAGCCAAACATAAAACATTAAGAACACTAAAAGTTTGAGGGGTAGGCGAGCAACTAAGAACCGGTTCAGTAGCGCATGATAAATTACCAATATAAATAAAAGAAGCACTATTGGGATCAGCAAACTGACGAGCACCAGAATAATTTGTGGCGAAAGTTAAAATGCCGAATTGAGGAAAAGAACCAGGCCGATGTGCCATCATAGTTAAACCGGCATTATCATTTGGAATTGCAGAGTTCGGTACTACTGATATTGAATAATCTAAAGAATTAAAATAAAATATATAAGAATATATATAGATATAGATATATATATATATACAAAAGCTAAAATAGAACAAAAAAGGAATACCTATATAGTTTGTAGGTGCCTTGCTACAGACATACCAACCATAACTAGTATCATTCAAGCTTACGATACCACTATCAGTGTCTTGCGTTTGAGCATAGATTAATAGACCACGCTATTCATTTTTATTAAACTTTTAAATATTAGGATAAAAAAAAGAATTGAATACAGAATCATTTAACACATCAATATAAAACTTTAAAATTACCAGTGATGCTATTAACCAAGCGAATAGTAAGAACTTGATAAAATTTTGTAGCATTTTATCATTTACGAAAAAGGACATTAATTAAGACATATAGTGAAGTTTTCCCATATTTTGAACAGCTTTTACTTTTATACCAAATTGCAGGTTACAAATATAACGTGACACGCCAAATTATGTAAACCATGTAACGGTAAACCATGCAAACTATGCAACTTATGCGAACTATGCAGGGTGTGAAACGATAAAATGAATCTTGTATAAAAAATAGAAACAGATTACTGCACTCAGTTGTGTGCCATGATATCATCTGATATTTGGATTTTCAACCATTACACAGTCCGTCACACAGTCCGTCACACAGTCCGTCAGTGGAACTAATACGAAACAAACCCTGATATGATATTCAGGATTTAATAGTTATTCATAGTCCGCAAAGTCATACGCAAAGTCATACGCAAAGTCATATGTAATAGTATTGGGGACACAGTTACACGGGACATGAACTCCGGAATCCATTCCATATATCGAACTCAGTTAAAAGGAGTCCGATTACAAATTGGTATCGAAAATGCTTGTGAACGTCTTATGAACTTAACTTGCTAGATGGTTTAAATGAAAATTGAATTCAATATCTGTTTTGGTTAGTTGAAATCTAGATTAGGTGAATAGAATATCAAGCTTGGAAATCATAGTAATCAGAACAATTATAAGCCACTATAAAAAGGTTAGATAAAAAAAGCCGATGTTAAGGTTTGCATAATGTGAGACTAATCAGACCTGATATGCTCTTTATCTGACACATAAATGCATATAAATGTTACGTATGTAAAACATATTAATATATTTTTAAACGGTGCTTCACAAAGAATGCAATTTACTTATTTTATGAAAATATATTTTGACCTTGGAGTTTCAGTATTTACATGAACATGCATTAATCCAATGAATTATGATATCTCGATTTAGTAACAACGATCATTGAATTGGTTCAAATTTAGTATTTAAGGATATTCATAATCTTTTTTTTTTTTAATAATCAAATTTCACACTTTGTATCATACAATCATAGCATTATTTTAATTTTGTATTTTTTTTTGGTTCACCACTATTATAAAATTTTTCTTTTTTCGGTTTATATATATATATATATACTAGACTTTTGTTCCATCGGTTGTCTGCTTCCCGATTTTTCAATAAACTTTCGTTTGAAACGAAAAGTTTATTAAATAGAAGTGCCATTTTTTCATTCATCACTTTACTAAAAATCTAAAAATAACGATAATACCAAATAATACTAAATATATCTATAACGATTTAATATAAAAAAAAACAAATCTGTACCTTTATTGATGAAATATTGAAGACTAGAATGATTATAATTTCTTTATATAAATTTGTTTTAACGGCTTTTTTGGTAGTTGTTGAGGTTCGTTTTTACTTTCGAGTTTAACCTTTTATTTTTATATAACGCTAATTTTTTTTTCTCTTTTTTTTTTTTTTTCGTGATTTGCATGTTTCTTTCGGGTCGTTATAGTGTATGCCAATATTGGTTTACGTACAAGGAGCAGAATTGTATTCTGGTATTGGTAAATTACCCGCATCTAATACTTGGTATATATGTAGTGCAGATAACACAGATTATATAGGTATGTATGCGATTGATTCCTTAGACAATATTTGAGCAATGTTTGAGCAATGTTTGAGCAATGTTTGAGCAATGTTTGAGCAATGTTTGAGCAATGTTTGAGCAATGTTTGA